ACGAGCTCTCTGGGCTGCCCTGGTCAGAGGGAGTTGGGGCTTTTGTTTCAGGTGGCTCCTGATTGGGTGGGTCAAGCACCCTTGTGAGTCACTGCTAGGCAGAGGCCTATATAAGAGCCAGGCCTAGAGCGCAGCTCCCAGAGCGCAGCCAACAGAGGCAGCGAACAGACGCAGCAGTTTGCGCAGCAGTGTCTGGGCTCTGCCTGGGCCTTTTGTGGGCCTTGTTGGAAGTTGTGGAGACTTTCTGGGGACCCCCGAGGAACTAGACGGTGCTTGCTGCTAGCAGGAAGGGAGAGCTGGGCAAGGACTCCTGCAGGGGACCTTGACTTAACTTCTCCTGGGAAGTTCTAGCTAGGTGGGGCTGCTGCTAACGAGCTCTCTGGGCTGCCCTGGTCAGAGGGAGTTGGGGCTTTTGTTTCAGGTGGCTCCTGATTGGGTGGGTCAAGCACCCTTGTGAGTCACTGCTAGGCAGAGGCCTATATAAGAGCCAGGCCTAGAGCGCAGCTCCCAGAGCGCAGCCAACAGAGGCAGCGAACAGACGCAGCAGTTTGCGCAGCAGTGTCTGGGCTCTGCCTGGGCCTTTTGTGGGCCTTGTTGGAAGTTGTGGAGACTTTCTGGGGACCCCCGAGGAACTAGACGGTGCTTGCTGCTAGCAGGAAGGGAGAGCTGGGCAAGGACTCCTGCAGGGGACCTTGACTTAACTTCTCCTGGGAAGTTCTAGCTAGGTGGGGCTGCTGCTAACGAGCTCTCTGGGCTGCCCTGGTCAGAGGGAGTTGGGGCTTTTGTTTCAGGTGGCTCCTGATTGGGTGGGTCAAGCACCCTTGTGAGTCACTGCTAGGCAGAGGCCTATATAAGAGCCAGGCCTAGAGCGCAGCTCCCAGAGCGCAGCCAACAGAGGCAGCGAACAGACGCAGCAGTTTGCGCAGCAGTGTCTGGGCTCTGCCTGGGCCTTTTGTGGGCCTTGTTGGAAGTTGTGGAGACTTTCTGGGGACCCCCGAGGAACTAGACGGTGCTTGCTGCTAGCAGGAAGGGAGAGCTGGGCAAGGACTCCTGCAGGGGACCTTGACTTAACTTCTCCTGGGAAGTTCTAGCTAGGTGGGGCTGCTGCTAACGAGCTCTCTGGGCTGCCCTGGTCAGAGGGAGTTGGGGCTTTTGTTTCAGGTGGCTCCTGATTGGGTGGGTCAAGCACCCTTGTGAGTCACTGCTAGGCAGAGGCCTATATAAGAGCCAGGCCTAGAGCGCAGCTCCCAGAGCGCAGCCAACAGAGGCAGCGAACAGACGCAGCAGTTTGCGCAGCAGTGTCTGGGCTCTGCCTGGGCCTTTTGTGGGCCTTGTTGGAAGTTGTGGAGACTTTCTGGGGACCCCCGAGGAACTAGACGGTGCTTGCTGCTAGCAGGAAGGGAGAGCTGGGCAAGGACTCCTGCAGGGGACCTTGACTTAACTTCTCCTGGGAAGTTCTAGCTAGGTGGGGCTGCTGCTAACGAGCTCTCTGGGCTGCCCTGGTCAGAGGGAGTTGGGGCTTTTGTTTCAGGTGGCTCCTGATTGGGTGGGTCAAGCACCCTTGTGAGTCACTGCTAGGCAGAGGCCTATATAAGAGCCAGGCCTAGAGCGCAGCTCCCAGAGCGCAGCCAACAGAGGCAGCGAACAGACGCAGCAGTTTGCGCAGCAGTGTCTGGGCTCTGCCTGGGCCTTTTGTGGGCCTTGTTGGAAGTTGTGGAGACTTTCTGGGGACCCCCGAGGAACTAGACGGTGCTTGCTGCTAGCAGGAAGGGAGAGCTGGGCAAGGACTCCTGCAGGGGACCTTGACTTAACTTCTCCTGGGAAGTTCTAGCTAGGTGGGGCTGCTGCTAACGAGCTCTCTGGGCTGCCCTGGTCAGAGGGAGTTGGGGCTTTTGTTTCAGGTGGCTCCTGATTGGGTGGGTCAAGCACCCTTGTGAGTCACTGCTAGGCAGAGGCCTATATAAGAGCCAGGCCTAGAGCGCAGCTCCCAGAGCGCAGCCAACAGAGGCAGCGAACAGACGCAGCAGTTTGCGCAGCAGTGTCTGGGCTCTGCCTGGGCCTTTTGTGGGCCTTGTTGGAAGTTGTGGAGACTTTCTGGGGACCCCCGAGGAACTAGACGGTGCTTGCTGCTAGCAGGAAGGGAGAGCTGGGCAAGGACTCCTGCAGGGGACCTTGACTTAACTTCTCCTGGGAAGTTCTAGCTAGGTGGGGCTGCTGCTAACGAGCTCTCTGGGCTGCCCTGGTCAGAGGGAGTTGGGGCTTTTGTTTCAGGTGGCTCCTGATTGGGTGGGTCAAGCACCCTTGTGAGTCACTGCTAGGCAGAGGCCTATATAAGAGCCAGGCCTAGAGCGCAGCTCCCAGAGCGCAGCCAACAGAGGCAGCGAACAGACGCAGCAGTTTGCGCAGCAGTGTCTGGGCTCTGCCTGGGCCTTTTGTGGGCCTTGTTGGAAGTTGTGGAGACTTTCTGGGGACCCCCGAGGAACTAGACGGTGCTTGCTGCTAGCAGGAAGGGAGAGCTGGGCAAGGACTCCTGCAGGGGACCTTGACTTAACTTCTCCTCTAACGGTTCTGTGTTGCACGTTCCCTGCATGCAGGTGCTTACAAGATGGACAAGGTGTCTCACAGGATAGCGAGGGTTTGGAAGATTTCCATTGAATCTGAAGAAAGCTTCTGTCCTGCTCAACATTTTGACCACATCTCTGCTTAGTGGTTTGGCTATGCCACTGAATGAGGAACTCTTAGAACAATCTTTGTTATTTAGTAGGTATTGGCATCTACTCTGCCGTCATCCAGAAGAGCTGTCTGACGGTCTCTAGACACCACCAGCAGGACTGGAGCATTTTTGTAGGCGTGCAACAACTCTAACTACAGCTCAAGAGAGACTGAAGCAGCAAGGCAGCAGCTGGAGCACTATCACCCAGCCCCTTCTGGAAAACAGCTGCTACCATACCTGCATCGACACTTCAGAAAGTCAAACACCTCCTGAAAAATAGATCTCCACAACTTGCCATACAAATTACACCCACAGGCATACTGCCATGAAAATCAATGAGGAGCCAAGATCTCAGGGTCTGTTCTGCAAGGAGGCCAGAGGCAACAGCAATGACCCAAGAGGAGACTGCCATGCCTAGAAAAAAGCAGGTTCAACAATCCCCTCTGAGGCCATGGCTTTCTACAAGCTGAAGAGCTGATTTCTGCAAGGCAAGTTAACGTTCACAACACTTGTAACGAAAGTATTTCCATGGCCACGTTTAATAGCATGTCCAGGCTGAAGACACCGTTCAGGCTTCTTGCTGCACCAGCCAGAAGCCCAGGAGGTGGTGACTGCTGCCCACAGCCTTACTGATAAATGCGTCAACCCAAGAAGACAAGAAATGCCTCCTGCCTTCAGAGAAAACACTACTTGCACAGCTCGACTTTAAACCCAGCACCCCTCCCTGAGTATCTGAGGAAGGTGTTGCCAGCCCCGTTACCAGGCGGGAACAAGTAACGTCACGCTAGGGGAAAGCTGCCTTGTCGGCGTCCTTGTTCTCAAATGAGAATGAAACTGCCTCAAAGTGTTCAGAAGAGGTTTCCTCAGATCACTGTCTGCCTCTTTCAAATAATGCAGATTCAGTATGATCTGACACCATCAACATACTCCACTTTGTATCTGTGTGTGCGTGACTGTTGTGTGCGTGTGTTGCTGATAAATGTAACTTTTTGGTTAAAGATCCAAGAAACAGCTTTTTACAGCAAAAGAAGTGGAATACATTCCTGAGGCTATGTCCCAATTTCTTCAGCACGTGGGCTCCCTTGAGGGCCCCCTTTCCTATGAGCACTTACATGCGCTAGCCCCTTGCTTTAACTGCGGGAGCACTGCCTCGCACACTTTGCTGTGGGGATGCAGATGGGCCTGAACCTGCCCCCTTCGCCGGGGAGGCCAGGCAGAAAAAGCTGCCGCTGCAGGAGCCCCCGTGCACTTCCTCCAGCTGACTTGCAGAGCGCAAATATTTTTCCACACTTTTCTTTCTGATGACAGAAACTAAATGCAGACATGCAGCCTGTACTTGTGCGAATGCGGCATGGCATGAGAGCTGTATTTCCACAATAATAACTTTGTTTTGCAAATTCAGCTTGGCCGTAAGTCGACATAGCTTCCCTGAGAAATGAGAATTGTGTCTAGTCACATCACAGCTGACTTTGTTGCCATCTGTTTTCTTGCTTTTAAAATAAAATGCTCTAAATTTAATAAAAAGTCTTCACGAGCTTGAAAGCTTTATTCCATTTCTGTTGGCATGTTTCTTGACTTACTGAGACCTGAGGTCATCACCACTTTGTGGTATGGATGTCTTCTTGTCTGTCAAACTGGGAGCAGTTGTCATGAACTGTTGTTTTAAGGGAGATTGAAGTGGAACTTAAATATTCAGTAAATAATCTGCATTCGTGCATGCAGCAGTTTTAGCGAGAAGCTTATTCAATTCCAAAACATCATTCTGATAACTTCAAAGTTCAAATTTTAAATACATCTTGCTGCATATTTCCATTAAAAAACAAATGGCTATAAGCTGTTTTCAGAGCATCTTTCTGGGTCTATGAATTATGTCACTAAATATGGTAGGGCAACATTCCTCTTCACTCTATATGTAATTTCTCTGTGAGCCTTGTCATCTGCAGTTAGACCTGAAGGGCCAACACAAAGATGTGACTTGTCAACAGGACAGGAAACACTGACTATGCACAAATTACATTCAACAGCAAAATAAAACATGCTCAAAAAAGGATAAAAATCTGAACCTACTTAGGTTTTCTTTTTCCATTAACCTGATATAACATAGACTGTTAAAAATCAGCTGGGTATATGACTCGCAAGTTGGTGGTGCTGTTTGAGTTGTAAATGATGAGGGGAAAAGCTTCAAATTCTTGAGTAGCTGTTATTTATTTATAGTTCTTGTTCCTTTAAAAAAAAAAAATGAAAAAATGGGACACCTACTGAGCCTTATCTAATAATTCCAAGCAACTTAAAAAAAAGTGCTCTGTCTTCTCTGCATCTGCTTGGGTTTTTGATTGAAGTTCATTAGCTTCTTGAAAACTGAGAATGTCATCGTCTTCTTATCAAGAGCTTGTTTATCACTGAACAGTTTAACTCTCTCCCAAACATCTTCGCTGCTGCATAACTAAAAAGTAAATATTTTCAAGACGTACTTCATGATTCACACTTCATTAGGCTATGTTCTGATCTCACTGAACATATTCCATTTATGTAACTCAATTACAACTGTGTAAATGCTGTGTAAATTCATTACTGCTATATATACAGATATTGTAATATTCTGGTTAAAATTGACAAAAGCGCAGGAGATATCTGACTGTAATTGTCACGGCAGCGCTCTTTGTCTAATTCCAACATGCTTCCAGCTAGCAGACTCGATTAGGAAAATGAAATGCTCTTCGAAAGGGCAAGGATTAACTTACGAGATATTAAATGCTAGTTCAAAAATGACATTTTGTCTCAGGCTCAAGTCAGAATCCACAGCTGCCCCCCCAGCATGTCAGGAGAGCAGGAGATACAAAAAGATGCAATACTGGGAAACTCTTTTTGCCTTTTGAAAGTGTTTACATATTTTAAATTCAAATATGAATGTTCTGAAAAACTTCTGTAGGAATTTTCTTTTTGGTTATTAGGATCTCACTTGCCAGCTCTTGTGAACAGAAAAATAAAAGTAACCCTAGAAAGATTCAATTGGCCAAGCAGAGGGCTTGGATTACCCACGTCATGAAGGACCTGATCTGTTAACTGCTAATCTGTAATCCAGGTCTCCGTTTTGTACTAGTTTCTATCTCTGGCTACCTCAGAAGCATTGGTGGCTCTACTAAATAACACGGAAAAGTTCCACCTCACGTTGTTTCTTACAGTGAACTTGAAGGAAGATGAGTATCGGTACCCGAGCAGTATTTATGACATTACCTGCTGGAACTTCTTGCATGTTTTTGACAGCTGTTGAAAATCATTGGCGTCTAGAAATGACAGTATGCGTATAATCACATTCTCAGGCATTCGGACTAGGAAATCATAATGCCCTTGACATAAATTAACTGTGTACTCCAGCATGCTGTTGCCAAAGATATTCTGCACTTGCTCTGTGGAATAAGAAAAGAAAAAGAGAGAGAAAAATAAATATAAAACAATCCACACATAATCTGATTATTTTAAAGCATGTTTGTGAATGTAATAACATGGGGCTAGGCATAGGTGACTACTTTAGTGTTAGGAGGAAAAAGGGTGGGAGGCAAAATTAAGATGAGATAGATGATAGATTGGGCAATTTCTACATATGTTGAGAAAGAAGAAACTTGATTTGATGATAGTCTAGATGATGGCTGTAACTAGAATTCCAGAGAGTGTGGGAATGACTGTGATACCAACCACATACGTAGCTTTGACACACTGGCTGAATGGAGAGCAACTGTCGGGACTGGTCATGCCAGGGACCCTACAGTTCCCACACATGTCCTTCAAGTAGCCCTAAGACAGCCTTGCAAAGAGGATCTGCAAACACAAAAGCCTTTGAATACAGGAGACGTATAATTTCATTTCTTTTTGTAATTTGCACATGGTTTGAGAAAGAACAGGGGTTAATGAATAACCTGACTATTGTGGAAATAAATGCCATACTGGGGGCCTGTGGGAGGAAAGAGCTCGAAGCCCTCATTCTGCCACATTCCCAGCTGGTGATGGGGCAATTTTCAGAGGGCAATGCAGGAGCAAACATAAAGCTGCAGGCTCAAAGGGAGCGTTCAAAAGAGCAGTGAGCAGCAGCCCAGCAGTGACTGCCAGGGCTGGTTTCAGTGGTGCTGGGAAGGCTCTCCTGAGCCCTGGGTGAAATCCTGCTGTGAATTATGGAGAGACAGTATTAGGGGGAAAATGTCTTAACAGCATCTAACTGCCTCCTGTGTGAATTGAGAGAGGAGAAAAAGGTTTACAGCAGTAAGATCCAGCCAGTATGCTCAGTAATGATGGTTTATAGACACAAATGACAGCGTTAAAGTCAGCCTTGATACTGAGGCTGTTTTGACATGGAAGATCTTAAAGTTTCTTGCTTGCTGTTATTTGGAATAGTCTGACCACCTTCTGACTATGCTTTTTCTAGGTAACATATCCAAACATGTGCTACAGAAGATAGGGCAGGAAATGGCTTATGAAACTGATCTTCCAAACCAATCCAAGATGTGCAGTTCGAAATCTGAGTGAAGAAGGGAACTTAGTCATTGGGAACAGGTGTGGGAGCCAAAACTGCCTTAACCACACCAATGCTTCCCAAGCCGCTTTGTCCAGACTTCTTTTTTTCTCAAAAACAATTGCATTATGGGACCTAACCAGGGAATTAAATAAGTACCACCTTGAACTGAAATTTAGCACTCTCACTGCCATAAAGCAAAATCTCTGACATCTCTTGTTCACTGTTAAACAGACACACGCACTACTGATAGATAATCAGTTTTACTGATAGGTAATCGGATATATGTGGCACACCAGACTCATTAATTCTGTAAACTTTGTTTGCTAATGTAAATACAGCTTTGTATGCTTTGTGCGCTTCTCTCGCCTCTGGTAAGCTGTTGGCAACAGAGCGGCACTCACAAAGCACAAGCTCTCCATCCCACCTTTCTTTTACAGGGACTTCCAAAGGGCCTGAGGGGAACATGGATAACTATTGTTTTCTGTGGTGTAAGGGGAGAGGAGAGACTTGTAAAGCAAATAGTCCCCCCCTAAGTTGTCAGAGTGTCCTGGGAGGGATAGGTGTCCTTGAGGGATCTGTCATCTCAAGACTGCACTTTCCTGATGTGCAACCTGTTCTCAGCTGTGCTCGTGGTCACCAACCATGGGCTCCTCCTGTCAGTACCACATAAATTCTTGCTGTGATATTGCCCAGGAGATCCAGGCAAGATTTCATCTTTGATTTGAAGCTCATTGATTGTTCAAAGCACAACAGAACAGAACAGGACAGAAAAGGAAAGGGAAAGGGAAAGGGAAAGGGAAAGGGAAAGGGAAAAGGAAAGGGAAAGGGAAGAGATGGGAAGGGAAGGGAAGGGAAGGGGGAAGGGAAGGGGGAAGGGAAAGGGGAAGGGAAGAAAAACTAAGAAACTAAGAAAAACTCGGTGCTGCATTGCCTTGTGTCACAGATGTGCAGAGCTCATTTGCTCCCATCCACGTGGGTGATTAGAGAAGTCTCAACTCCCAGTTCTGGCTCTGGACCCAGTGCACAGGTCCCTTGACCCTCTGCAGGGTAAAAATTTGAATGTGCTATCCTTGATCAATCCATTTGCACAGCCTACATTGTATTTTCCTTGCCTTTTTACTGGATGATAACCACATGATGTTTTCCGCAGTGGCAAAACAGTGAAGCTGTGAGAAAGAGCTGGGGAACAGCGAGACGTGAGAAGCTCATGGGGAGCTTCCACCCTTCAACCTGGGAGCTGCTCTCAAGTGCAGGCCCATGCCAGGGTCCTTGCCTGAGCAGTGCAGTGGACAGGCTGTGCAGCTCCCTGAGCCAGACCTGCTGCCTTGACCTCCTGGCTTGACCTGGGACCTGCTCGTCAAGACAGATCTGCTGGTGAGACACTGCCCTGCCAACCCTGCTGGCACCCGCGGCTCCTAGCTCCCCATCCCTTGAGGAGCAGCCAGCTCTTGCTGCTCTTGCAGCTGCTAATAAAGATAGAGAACTCACTTTTCTGACAGTAAATTTATTTAATTAAGAGTCGGGCATTCTACCTCCCCTTCGCTGAAAAGTTACAATTCAAGATGATCCATCAAAATGAAATTAAATACTAAAGAGAGGTAATGTAGTCCTCAATGGAGGGCAAACTTCCAAAAATAATTAAAAAGGGAATATTAAATGTGACTGGCTTAGGAATGTCAGATGGGAAATAGAAATACTTCCCTAGCTGAATAAACTCAGTGTTGGTTCCTTAATTTATAATGCTGTCCCACAATGCAAACATTAAAGATGACTGTGTATTGAAAACTTTTAAGTTCCTTATTCAAATGTCAAATACCTAAGAAGAAAACACTTTGAAATGTATTACACAAGGTATAAACACTTTCAATGGGTATTTAAGACATACTTTAAATGACTTGTGATTTATCCATAGCTACAGTATTGTACTGGGTAACAGTCTTACCGCTCTATTCATTACCATCACTACCATATAATAAGAACAAAAAGGCAATTCTACAAAGTAATTTAGAGGCCTAAAAGAAGGAATGAAATGACACGAAATAGCTTTCTTGTATGATTATACTCCACGTCTTCAAATTGATCTCTGTTGGTGAGATTTTCACCAAAAGAGAAAATGCACAGGTGAATACGCATAATTTTTACATTTTTCTTAGGCAAGAAGAATGATCTGGAACTGCAAACTGCATGCAAGCAGCTCTCATAATGAATATTAACTGGTCGGGGGGAACTCATGCAAGTTTAGCATGACTTTAGAAATGAGCTATGGATTTAGGGAAAAAACTTTCTTAACAAGTTAGAAAAAAAACCCCTTGATTGTACAATACAAAACTAAGAGAGTTCATAGGACTTATTCAATGGGGCTGAGACAACTTCTCTCACGTTATTTATCCTCTGTTTGCTAGTTTAATACTTGCTCTGTAACTGCTCATCCAGCAAAAATTCCTTGTGGGATTTCTTCACCTCCTTTGGGGAAATCTTTTCTTGATCAGGTCGAAAGGAAATCCTCCAAGTCCTCCAGATTACCTGAAGAAATCAGCAGCAAACAGAAAGAATATGAAATAAGTTAACTTTGCGTGGCCAAGAACAAATGTGGTAAATGGGGTACACCTAATTTATTGGGCGTTTTAAAAAGCATTTGATTCAGTGCTAAAATGAAATTATTAGATAAACTATAGATGCTGGAGATTAAGAACTGTGATGTGGTAAAAGCACTGGCAAATGGGAGAAAGAAAAAAAAAACTCAGGATGAGAGGAGAACCACTGTGGAGACAGGTTATTAACTGATTTTGGATTGACAGAATTACTGAGGCAGGAGTCAGCTAATGACATTTGGAGTAATAAAACCAGGATAAAATGCAAGTACCAGGCTTAGGGGCAACTAGCAAGAGGGCTCTTAACTGAAGTCCTAGATGGAAATGACAGACTCATTTTTATGTTAGTCATGGGAGAACTACAGGACACAACATGACCTTGTTCTGGAGAAGCTGGACGCCATCCTGCAGCGTGTCAGGCATGGCAAGTCCCGGAGACCCGGGGGGAAGCCTTTGCCTTTACAGCACTCCCTCCTGACACCTCACCTGGGACACCTGAAAAGCTCCTTAGCTGTGTTCAAGAAGGGTACGTTCAAGCTGGAAGAAGGGAGCAGAAGAGCAGGACTACAAAAAATGTATCTTACAAGGGAAGACTGAACAACAAGGTCCTGCTCTTTATAGATGCATCACAAGGGAGATGGCTGAAGCCAGAGAACAGGTTGGGTAGGTTGTTCGAACTTAAGGACAATCCTGGCACAAGAAAAATGAAGATAAACTGTCTGGGCATAGGTTTAGGCTGGAAATGAGAAGATTTCTCACAAAATAGCGAGATTTGGAGAAGAGCAACAAGCCTTAACTAGCTTGTTTAGCTCCTTTTGGGGACAAGAATGTCACTCTATGTCTGAGGTGCTTTGCAAAATGTCCTTGTGACATAAGACGTAGACAAGAAAGCAAATTACTGTTGCCATTGAACTCTTAGCTTTTTCATTTCTTTTTTATGGAAGTTTCACTTGATATTTTTAAGGTTTTTTTGTATGTGTATTGTTCAACGATGCAGTGCTGTTCAAACTAGAAATGCAAAAGTGCGAAAAGTACCTTTGAACAACAGCAGAACAGAGGTATCACAAAACTTCATTCTTGAAAGAGAGCTGTAAATTTATGCTTTTCTCTGCAGAATTGTTTCACCTTCAGAATCTTGCTCAGCATGCAGTAAGAAGCATTCAATATAAATTACAGGATTTAAATTATCCCACTTTTCATAATATCTTTTGGCGTTACTATGAAGTCAAAGCTGTTTGACAGCTTTCCAGCGTGGTATACGGAGATTCAACACCAACAGGGATTTTCATTTCCAGAAGCAAAGCAATGCAATATAGTTTTTCACCTTGCTGGTGTCAGCATCAGTGAAGGCTAGATAACACATCCGTGTCTGGACTTATCCTGCCCGCTTACCTGTGAGCTGCTGATGGTGAAGTGGTGGAAGTCCTTGCTGGGGGCAGGAGACTGGCACTGGAGTTCGTGAAGGGTCTCCTGCAGAAGGGACACCATGATGCTCGCCCCTCCTAACCTGTGCACAGCAAACTATCCCCCACCTACCAAGACTGTTTGTATGGGCTCTGTGCTCCAACTCAGTTTCTTTCCCACGGTCTTAGAACAGCGACAGTGTCTACGGATCTGTGCCAGCCTGCTTAACAGGAAAGATCAACAGTCAAAACCTTTTGCAGGTGCACAATGCTTTTGGAAGCGTTGTGGCTAGGCTACAGTCACAGCTATAACCTCAGTGTAGCACAGTTATACCCAAGGTAACTTTTATGGTTATCCTAAAGTGACCTCTGGGCTAATACAGCTAGATGGCTCCTTGTGCCAGCCTGCTGGTTAACGCCACAGTGACTGCTGCAAAGACCTGCTCCAAAATGCTCTGCTGAAGATAAATAAAATTTCCACAAAGTTATTTGATTTTGTATAGCATGGCTGGCTTGTGTTTTTCTCTGTTTCTCTAACAACAAATATAAATATATTAAATATATATAAATATATCTCTCAACAAATTTCTCTATTTGTTGTGGGTCATCAGAAATAAAATCCTCCAGAGTAATATCAAGATTTTGAAAGTGCAGGAAGGGAGAAAAAGGAAGACCAGGAATGCTTCTTAATATGACAGCATGCTCTAATTTTTACACAGATGAATAAGGCCTTGATCCTCCAGCCAGCTGAACTGAAGTACCAATGTCTGCTCACCCTAAGCCTCTGGTTTAAAGGCTGGGTGTGTGCCTGCTTATTCAAGTACAAGCTTCTGCCTACAGAACGTTTTTAGGGGAAGGGAACATCATTCAACTACTTCAATTTCTAATAGCTTATAAAAAGGGAAGGTGCAGTGTATCTACTGCTGGGAGCCCAAGGGTTTGAACTGAGAGGTGCAGCCAGAAAAGGCATGTCGAATGTCCTTCCTTTGAAGTTCACTGTCCAGGTGGGAAGTCCTGATCCTTGAATATGACTGAGCTCCCTACTGCGGTACTGCTTCCCCTTTGACCTTCCAGTGCTGGCATGGCATGCTTTCTTGTATACCGAGTTGCTGTATACTATTTTATATCGGCTGTATGCCAAAAGATCCCTTTTTTAGAGGTGGATTGTTGCTAGGAATATACAAAGGGGATTTCTGAGATGAAAAAAGTTTGCTTCAAAACACAACATGGGGGAAAGACACACACGAGAGGTTTTAAACAGGTATTTCTAAATTCATAGGAGCTTTTAGTGTATTTTACTTTTATAGCTCATTTTCTATATTTTCTATAATGAATCTAAAGAGTGACCAAAATGTCATTCCTCAAATTAAGAATTATGTTTGTTTATTATGGAAACTTATTCTGATCCAGGTATTTAAGGAGATAGCTGTAATTCACAGTATTTTCTTGACTGAAGGTATAGAAAGAAGCTTTATGTGACAAATGACTTATCTGATTTTTACTAATAGAAAACATTATTGCTTAAATATATCTCTAAGAGATCAATATGAAACTGAGTTCCATAGAACTCCTTTGTAAGGCCAAGGCAGCTCTGCATAGTTCTCCGCATGATTTACTGTGTCTGGGTGTGAATCAAAACTCTAGTTAGAAACCTTTCATAAAAGACAAGTTTCTGAATGTTTGTATTAAATATGCTTTCCAAAGCTGACTGAGAATTCACCAGAACAATCATTCTTAGAAGAATTATTTTTACACTCAGTAACAGTGCAGTGAGGTTAATTCAGTGGGCAAAAATTCCTTTACAGAATCACAGAATGGCTGAGGTTGGAAGGGACCTCTGGAGATCATCTAGTCCAACCCCTTTGCTCAAGCAGGGTCACCTAAAGCATGTTGCCCAGGATCATGTCCAGATGGCTTCTGAACATCTCCAAGGAAGGAGACTCCACAACCTGTCTAGACAGCCTGTGCCAGTGCTCAGTCATCCTCACAGGAAAGAAGTTTTTCCTCAAGTTCAGATGGAACTTCCTGTGGTTCAGTTTCTGCCCGTTGCTTCTCAGTCTGGCCCCATCCTCTTGACACCCTCCCTTCAGATACTTGTACACATTGATCAGGTCACCTCTCAGTCTTCTCTTCTCCAGGATGGACAGGCCCAGCTCTCGCAGCCTTTCCACACATGGGAGATGCTCCACTCCATTAATCATCTTCGTGGCAAGTGGACTCAATCCACCGTGCCTCTCTTGTACTGGGAGCCCACAACTGGACACAGCACTCCAGGTGAGGCCTCATCCGGGGCTGAGGGGAGGGGCAGGATCACCTCCCTCCACCTGCTGGCAACACTCTGCCTAATGCACCCCAGGAGACCATTGGCCGCCTTGGTCACAAGGCCACACTGCTGCCTCACGGTCAGTTTGTTGTCCACCAGCACTCCCAGGTCCTTCTCTGCAGAGCTGCTTTCCAGCAGGTCAACCCCCAGCCTATACTGCTGCATGGGATTATTCCTCCCCAGGTGCAGGACCCTGCACTTGCCTTTGTTGAACTTCAGGAGGTTCTTCTCTGCCCAGCTCTCCGGCCTGTCCAGGTCCCTCTGAAGGGCAGCACAGCCTTCTGGTGTGTCAGCCACTCCCCCCAGTTTTGTGGCATCAGCAAACTTGCTGAGGGTGCACTCTGTCCCTTCCTCCAGGTCATTGATGAATACATTGAACAAGACTGGACCCAGAACTGACCCCTGGGGGACACCACTAGCTACCGGCCTCCAGCTAGACTTTGTGCCACTGACCACAACCGTCTGAGCTCTGCCATCCAGCCAGTTCTCAATCCACCTCACTGTCCACTCAGCCTGCATTTCCTGAGTTTACCTGTGAGGATGTGATGGGAGACAGTGTCCAAAGCCTTGCTGAAGTCCCGGTAGACAACATCTGCTGCTCTGCCCTCATCTACCCAGCCAGTCATTCCGTCATAGAAGGCTATCAGGTTGGTTAAGCATGATTTCTCCTTTATGAATCCATGCTGACTACTCCTGGTCACCTTCTTGTCCTTCATATACTTACCTCCAGGAGGAGCTGTTCCATCACCTTTCCCGGGATGGAGGTGAGGCTGACAGGCCTGTAGTTCCCTGGCTCCTCCTTCTTGCCCTTTCTGAAGACTGGCGTGACATAGGCTTTCTTCCAGTCCTCAGGCACCTCTCCTGATCTCCAGGACCTTTCAAAGAGGATGGAGAGTGGCCTAGCAATAACATCTGCCAGCTCCCTCAGCAGTCGTGGGTGCATCCCATCAGGGCCCATGGATTTGTGGATGTCAAGTTTGCCTAAGTGATCTCTAACACAAGCCTATTTGACCAAGAGAATGCCTTCCTTTCTCCCTGGTCTCCAGGGTCCAGGATTCCTAAGGGCTGGCTTTAGCAGTAAAGACTGAAGCAAAGAAGGGATTCAGTATCTGAGCCTTTTCTGTAGCCTTCGTCACTAGGGCACCCACTCCATTCAGTGGCAAGCCCACATTTTCCTTAGTCTCCCTTTTGCTACTGATGTATTTGAAGAAGCCCTTCTTGTTATCCTTGCCAGACCTAACTACAAATGGGCCTTGTCCTTCCTTGTTGCATCCCTGCATATTCTGACAACGTCTCTATATTCCTCCCAGCTGGTTGATCCCTGCTTCCACTTCCTGTACACTTCCTACTTATGTTGCAGTTTTGCCAGGAGCTCCTTGTTCATCCATGCAGGTCTGCTGCCCCCTTTGTTGGACTTCTTGCTCATTGCGATGCACCTTTCTGGAGCTTGGAGGAAGTGATCCTTAAATATTAACCAGCTCTCTTGGACCCCTCTTCCTTCTAGGACTTCTCTTACACATTAATTTTGATCTCAGAGGTTTCAGCTATTATAAACTGGCATGACTCAACTGAAATACAGTTTGTCACTGTACTAATAGAGTCAGTCATTTGCAAAAATGACTTAACAGTCAGGAACATGGCCAGCAGGCAAACATACTTACATGGCAACATAAAATAGCTAGATGAGTACGTAAAGGAGGAAGCATGGTCAAAATTATTCTCAGTAGTCCTAGAAAGGTTAGGTTCATGCACATGTCGGTGAAGGAGAAATGAACAATGTGAGATACCTTTACTTCCTTGACTATTAGTTTGGGGTTTGGACAAAAATAATAATTACATAAAAGGAATATATACTATGTGTTTGCTTACTGAATTAATCCAGGTCAGATACTGAATTGAATTTTGAATACGTTCTCACTAAAATATATTGGTCTCAAAGATTTTCACCATTTCTGTGCTGTGAAACTTGGATTTCAAATATGATTTTGCTTTCATTATTGTCCATTATTAATGAGACAAGACCTATTAGTCAGGTAAACACTTTGCAAAGATACAGCAGCCTAGTTTAAGGAATTCATAACTTATTTTCAAGGTAACTTGAATCACAAAAAGAGCTTAACTCTGCTTCCTACAGCCTGTTCAGAGAATGTAACACCTGCAGTTTCTGTAAAAGGAAGCAAAAGTGAAACGAATGAACTAAACATGGATCTTGGCTCCACCAGGTGTGCACTGACCTGCTGTTCTATTCCTATGACAGAAAAGGACTTGGCAAACCCTGCACTGTCTGATTTTCAGGAACACTGGACATCTAGCCCCCTGGCTTTGGTGGTGTGAGTTCGACAGCCATCATGCTGAGAATAATACCGAGAGTCTTTAAAACATGGAAATCAGCTTGTGCCAAAGCTGTAGAAGTACTGAAGTGTGCCAAGTTTGGTGGGCCATCAGAGCACTTTGGAGTGAACAAATATTTTCATTTTCCTTCTTCTTTTTTTTTTTTTTTTAATTCACAACACACCTACGATATTTTAGCTGCTACTACAATAGAGAAGGAAAGCTCTGATCATGATAGAAAGCAAAGGATCATGATCTCACCCTGGAAACGGTGGGGCTCACCCCCATCAAGGCTTTACAGACCTCACTAAAATCTTCCTTAGCTGCTGCGTTTCAGTAGTGACATAACGTCATGGAGATTTAAGCAAACAATATCACACAAAACAAGAACAGTATAGATTATTCATTATCAAGATAATACAAACAAGATGAAAATATTTATTTTCTACACTTTTTATTTAATTTTCTACACAAAAAGAGCAGTCATTACCTTTTAAAGGACCTTGCAATTCTCTCCTTATGTGCTCCTTTTTGTGTTCAGCCCTAGCTGGCACATGTAATAAGCAACAAGTTACAACACGGGTTATATATGTAACAACAACTTGTTACATATATCATCAGTTTCCCTAGGCATTTTTTTTTACTTACTCTTAAAGGTTTTACAGAATTTTCAGGAGTTTGTGCACCTCTGCAGCCACCCTCACCAGGGATTT